GGGCCCACTGAATGACCAACAAGGAATCAGGGGTCAGTTGAATGGAGTCATGAGGGAAGAGAAAGCAGGCTTTGATGGTTCAGTCCCGTGTGGAAGTTGGAAAATTGGTGATAACCAATTTAGACAACTCTTGAACAAGCAGGATTGTGGCTTGTTCAGAGCCACAAAGAAAAGAGGGAGGGGCTTGGAGACAAGACTTTTAAGAAGCACATGTGAGTTGTGGTGAGAAGATCCCAGTTGAGAGAGAGAGATTGGCAATGAAGAAAAGAAACAGGGAGGATGGACAGTTGGTGCAGGAACTGGATATTAATGTAAAACTGGAGCTTAATTTAAAAAAAAAATGCTGTCATAAGATTCCTSTAGCCAGCTGCCACTGTCCCTCATGATAAATAGGGGATTTAGGGAGGGGGCTAAGATGAATAAAGAGGACTAAGGAAACTGATACACACTTGGCAATCTTTTGCTACCCAAGAAAGAATCTTCTAAAATTCTTCAGCCAGAAAGTTAAAAATCCCCTTACCTTAAAAGTCTTGTCCTTTCTGTAGTTTTCTAGCAACCAGAGAGCTCAGCCTCCTGGTGTTTGTTCTGACCAGCACTATCGAATAGCAAGATGGAGTGAGGCCACGTGGAATTAAAGTTTGGTGGAAAAGGCCTCTAGGAATCTTATTAAAATCTCTCTCTTGCTTATAAAAATGTGGGTAAAACCAGCGATCTGAGGGGAGTGGGATTTCCCAAGCCTGTGCTGTCTAGGAAGAGACTTGACAGCCATACTGGGCATCATGACAAGGTCTACTTTTCCTAAACTCAGTTGATCCTGAGCTTTTATTTCAGCTGGGCTGGAATAACGTTTCCTTCTAGAAAAACATAGTTGAAAGTTCAGGCTAAATAAGGAACCCAGGAAAAGTGTCCACCCCTGAGGTGAAACCAAGAGACTCTCAATGGTGCTCATAGTGGAAGGTCTCAGTGTGGACTCCATGGGCACTGGCCTTTCTTATTGGGCCCAGAGATGGTCTAGTCCATTTTTTGTTTATTTAATCAACCCTCTTCTTCCTCCAAAGTATGAAAACATTAGCCATTCCCTCCACCACCACCATCCCATTTCCATGAGATCTACTCTAAGTCCATATGAAGAAGAAGAGGTGCCAGACCCAGCTCTTGATCTCTATGCTGTGTGGCATCGTGGAGGGACATGTGAGGAACAGTGATAACGCTGTTGACCTCTTCAGTAACAACACCGCCAAAGCTCAGCAACTGATGATTATGCAAAACCCTACTTCTGCAAACTTCTAACTGCCTGACCTTGAACAGGCCAGTCTTGCTCAGCCTCTGTTTGCAAACGGTAAGGTGGCTCTTCTCTCAAGGGGTGAGGACTGAAGTGTGATTAGGTGTATAGGTGCTTAGCTCAGTGCTTGCTGCGTCTTAGTCTTTACCAAATGTAGCTGTTACTATAAAAGTACACCCATCGCATGGGGCTCAGCTGGAACCGCTGTCATTTCTTGATCAGTTAACTCATCATGTAAGTGTGTTCTGGCTTTTTTCACTTGTGATTAAAAGACACAGTAACCTTTTTATATATATATATATATTTTTTTTTTTTAATTTTTTAGATTTTTTAATTTTTTAGTTGTTGATAGATATTTTTTTTATTTATATGCGGTGCTGAGAATAGAACTCAGTGGTGCCTCACACATGCCAGGCAAGTGTACTACCACTGAGCCATAGCCCCAGCCCCGTGTGTGTGTGTGTGTGTGTGTGTGTGTGTGTGTGTAATTTGCTTTTTATTAGCATGTATTAATAATACCCAAAATGTTCCTTTTGGTAGTGCTGGCTACCTGTTCTGCCCATGCACCAACTCTCTCTGGTTTGAAGCTAATAACCCTTGACTACAAGTCAACTCAGTCCATTATATAAACCAGCATAGCAACCCAGTTATCTTAGGAAGTTATTTTTGCTTTAAGTTAAATATTCAGTTGTATATTTCCTGGATGGCTTTGTGGTCAGAATATTTATCTGATTACACTTGCTGTACATAATTTTTAGGAAATTACAAATTCAACCTTAAGACAGAGAGAACTTGAAGGCCCTGCAGTGGAGCAGAACCTGAATTACTTCCTTATGAATATCTAGACTCCATACACTCATCTTTTGGGTTCTTCTCTAGAACTCATGAGGGTGGCTTCCTACTTAAGTCCCAGGTGCTTTCCCTTTCATAAGATGTAAATCCAAGGGCTTCCTTCTTTGCTGTTGCAATGTTTATAATTAGGTACCTGACTGGCTTAAAAAATAGTTAACTACAGCATTCATTCATCACACTAGGGGCCAATGCTTACTGGAGTAAAGAAGATGCATGAGAGATCATTGAAGGAAATGCAATTTATTAATTTCTGGAAATCAGAGATTCTTAACGGATTCATAAGGACCTAAGATATTTACATAGGGGCTTCCCCAAGTCCTCCCCATGCTCCTGAGCTTTAGTCAGGTTCCCAGGAGGATCCAGAATCTCTACCTGAACTTTTGAAGACTATTCCCAGCTGAAGCCAGACCAGTAAAGAGTTCAACACCTAGAATGTGCCATTGTCCCCTTAAACCCTGAATTTACTCTTAAGGATATTAATAGAATGTTGCAAATTCCATTACAGCTTTTCTTTATGCAAATTGTTAGAAGCTATTTCCCAGTGGCTTCATAAACTAGGAATATTTGTGAACAGATTGTCTTAAATCAAGTATAACATAATATGTTAAATCCTAGCTGCTGATAGCCAAACTATCAGCCTGCTTCCAAAACAAGTAGTTAGGATGTCACAGCCTGTGTTGTGTTCTTGCCTTTGGGTGCGAGGAGCTAGTAAACAGCACACATGTGACCCTGCCTGGGTTCTAAACTAATGAGAATATAGCTGTGAGACAGACAGGGGGAGACCCAAATGAGGCAAGGTGGGAGAAGGCAGCTTGGTGTGGCACATGGTAATAGGATCTCACGACTTCCTTCCCCTGCAGTGGGATGTGAATCTCTGCAGGTAGAAGTACCCAACCCAGAGGAGAAAACATTTCAACCCCATTTCCCCAGCGCACCATCAAATGCACAACCCTGTGCACCGTGCACCCGGCTTATCACTGAAGGCGGGCAGGGGCAGGAGCGAGGAGTGCTCCTCTAGGGGGATTTCTCTATGGAGAGAGGAAAATAATTACCCTCTCCCCAAACAATGGCTTTTCTCCTTTTCTTCTTTTCTCCCTTAATTCTCCATTTGCTTTGTTCCCTCAACTATTCAGTTAATAGAAATTCTTTTTTTTTTTTTAGAATAGGTTGTGCCATATAACTAATAATTCATTTTTAAATCATACGATTTTTTTTTTTTGGCTATAAGGTAACAAAGAAGTCCCAACCAATTTTTTTTTCCTTGATATACTGCCCAGGCTGGCCTCCAATTTCTGAGCATAAACTATCCCCCTGCCTCAGCCTCCCAAGTACCTGGGACTACAGGCATGTGCCACTATGCCCAGCTTTCACCAATTTAGAGTGCTCTGAGAGGACAGGATTGTAGGAGACTGTAATGATGGAATTATTGTCTCCTTCTTCTGAGTGTTTCACTTTAAACTCTTTGTGCCTGTCTGTCTTTTAAGCTCTTGTTAATCTCTTTTAAAAACAAAGGGAACCAGGGTTGGTGGTGCATGTCTGTAATCCCAGCTACTTGGGAGAGGGATAACACGTTTGAGGCCAGCCTGAGCAATGTGACAAGAACTTGTCTCAAAATAAAATTTTAAAACTTCATAATAAAGAGTTGGGGGTGTAGGTCAGAGGTAGAGGACTTGCCAAGCGTGAGTGAGGCCCCAAGTTCAATCCCCAGTACCAAAAAGAAAACAAAACAACAACAACAAAAAAAAAACTCACAAAGTAATAACCTATAGTTAAGGTCCACGAACATGGCCCACTCCAGATTAGCTAGAATTTGTTTTTGTAAAGAAGACAGATATGATGAAATGTTCCATCAGGAACCCATTTTAGAAGAGTCTATGCCAAGTTTCTTTAACAAAAATTCTAGAGTTGGCATATCCAGATGTGCATTACAGTTTTCCAGAGAGACCATTTGAAAAGCAGTACCCTTATTTCAATGAGGCCATTACCACCCAGGGAATTTTCTTAATTCCTTCTTTAGAATGAATGTGAAAATTTTCTTAAATATCCTCAAAAATGAGAAGTGTTTGTCCTTTCTGGTGAATCTGATTTTGGAAACAACTAGCTATACGTAGTTATTATTGTTTAATAGATTAAATGTTTTGCTTGGATTGATGAAAGGATTCAGAAAATATTGGTGAGGGTTACACAGAGTATAATTAATTCCACTGGATCATGCACTTTAAAACTGAGAATTTTATCTAATAAACATCTAACGGTTTCATGTTATTAAGCATTAGCATAAAACTAAGCAAAAATTAAGCCAAATTAGTATAAAATTTCAGCTATATATAGCCTCGATCAAAACATTCAAAAACCACAAATTAAAAATATATTTAAAGATCTGTTTTTTATATTCTTAATAAATACGTTGTTAAATATGCGATGCTCATTGACCCTGTATCAAATTAAACTTTATATTAACATTTAAAAATTTTTTTAATAAAACAAGAGCATTAGAAAGCAAAGAGCTCTGTGTGCCTCTTTCTGAAAGCACAGATTTATTCGTGGATCAAGAAGAGGGGAAACAGAGAGATCTTGCTGTTAAAATATATATATATATATATATATATATATATATAACCTAGAGTTCAGTATTGAATTGTGGTCCAATTGCATGGTTCCTATCCCATGGAAAGGAAGTTAGTCCACTAAAACTGCTATTAACACCTACACCTGAGGACGTCTTGCCCCACGTGGCAGGAACCGCTTTTGCCTTCTTTGCTGGGACGTTCAGTTCCCTCCGCCCGCGCTGGGCAGAGGCATGCAGACCTCACCTTTATTTCAGCCACCGCGGACGAGTGCTCACGTGCTCCCGGTTCTTTTCCAGAGCATAGGAAACTGGGAAACATGACTGTGACCGTGAAGAAGACTGTCCCCTCTCCCGAGGCCGTGCAGATCCTCTACCAGCGAATGAGATACGAGTACCAGTTCTACCACTACGTCAAGGAGCAGTTCCACCTGCTCAAGCGCAAGTTTGGACTCAAGTCTCACGCGAGCAGAGCGGCCCTGAGGCCGCAGTTCTTCATCCCCACCCCGCTGGAAACCGAGGAGCCCGTGGACGATGAGGAGCAGGACGATGAGAAGTGGCTGGAAGATATTTATAAGAGGTGATGCCAGCACGGTGTGGCTCCATGGCAGAATCTCCCTTTTCCAGAAAGGTTGTTCTGTTTGTTTGAGGAAGAAAAATCCAGAAGGGACTTAAATTAATGCTTGAGTGCATTAAAAAGAACAAAACATTCCCACATGTTGGGGTCATTGGGAGATGCCCGGTTTTGCGGGTTTTATTTGTTTAATTTTATTCTGTTTTTCTTTGGCTCCTTTGAGTCTTTCCCAGGTACACTAGATGGCTCCATCACAAGGTAGTCTTGTTCCAAACAGCCTACCCAGCCCCACCCCCCCAATACATGGGAGAAGGGGAGAAATATATCCCCCTGCCCAATAACTTATCATTTGTAAAATGACTTGTAAAAATATTACCTCAATGGCAGAAGACATCCAGACTTGTATATTTCAGTAGAAATACAAAAACCACTTCAGAGATCAGGGAATCTGCTCTAGAAGTGTCTGAGGGGGTAAGGTAAGGCAGAAAAGAACATCAAAGGGAGATGTCCCTGGTGAAGTGGTTTCTACCCAAATGGGTAGAATTCCACCTCTGCCCCATCTCAGGGGACAATGTCATCAAGAACAGTGTGCTTATCTCTGAAAGAATAACTTGGCTTATGTCATATCCCCCACCAATCAGCACCTGAAATACCTTTCAAGGCCAAGTGCATGGTCAAAGTGCGTGTCTCTGTTGAGACATTCCATTTCCAAGCACCATTCTGACAGACTCCAAGGTGCACAGCAAGGAAAAGGATTTGTTTGCTGTTTAAGAAGAACTGTAGGCAAACAGATCAAATCTGAGGGTCATGTGACAATAGGAAAATGGCATGTGTGTGCTTTGCATCTAATCTGGAACATCCATGTCCCCAGCATTGCTTTCAATGAAGTCCCAGGAACCATTTTAGCTCTGGTGTTGATTCCTATGCCAGGAATTCTAAGCCTGACCAGACAGTGCATGATCTCAGAAGTCCATTCCTGGCCAAGTTGGGTCTTTCAAAAACTGATATCTTTCATTTTCTAGTCCCTTAAGAGGTGCCTGTTTTTAGGAACAAGGGATCCTGAGCTCTGTTAAGACAGCAGTAGAACTACAGGCTCATTTCTTATGGAATCTGTTTGTTTCTGAGGGCCCTCACCAGGGACGTCAAAATGAGAAGCAGCAAGACTTCTGGGTAAGAGACTGATTGACCAATTTTCTGAGTAAGTGGATGCCCCTAGTATGATCTGAGTAGACTCTGAGCAGTTCCATCACCCCAAAATAATCCTCCTTTTCACTTCCCACACCCCCTATATCTGCTCCCTATTAATGAAGTCTTGGCCCAGTCATTAGAAATCTATTCCTTAAATTCAGAAGTATTTTCACTGTTTAAAAAAAAAAAAACTGAAAATACATGTTCTCCTGGGTAGATGATGTACAGCTAGCTGAGGAACCAAGGTGTGGTGGTGGTAGCAGGAAGAATACTTGTGACAAATTTTGCCTCCAAGAGCAAAGTGAGTTGCAAGGACTTATTAGTAAATAAGATTCTGGCTTTACACAAGCTATACATTTTCTGCTTTTCAGAAACCAACAAGTCTCTCCAAAATTCTTTCTTCCTTCACTAAAACTGGACAGGAGCCAAGATATAAAGCAAGTCATTTGGAACCTGCCGAGTGGGTGCTGAAGCCACTTTATCATGAGATATATTAAGACGGCTCCAGCCCACAGGCACCCAATGAAGGCAGGGACCACAGAGGCAAGAAGTCCAGCATGTGGCCACATGTGGGCCCCTTTCTGCCTCAGAGAACTGAAGCAGGGAAGTGAATAAAGGAAATGTTCTTAGAAAATGAATTATCCTTTGTCTTGTGCAGAGAGACCAGGGCCCTACCATTAGGCATACTTCAAAAAGCAACCTGGAAAACAGCTATCATGTTCAAAACAAGTACAAGGAACTGCTGCCTGATATGTTGTGAGTCGTTTCTATGAATTACACTTAAATAATGAAGATTAGTTTACACACTGTGCAATCTCACATCTGAAATAAAGTTGCGTTGGCTAAGTTTTCTCTGCTGTTGTCAGAACATTGGGACAATTGGTCACTCAACAAAATCCTTCCTCTTTCTGCAAGTTCACATGGGCACTTGTACCTGTGTGTCCAAAGGCATTTATTTTCAGCAGTGATCTTGGTAACTTTATGACAAAAGGTGCCAACTGATTTACTTGCAGGGCCTTTTTGTTATTTTGTCGCAACAAACAGTCTCTAGGTCCTAGAAGTCAAGGCACTCCATCAGTTTCTTTGGCACACATGACAACATTTCTTTGGCCCTGGGCCCAACATAGTTTGTACTTCATGAAATATATTGTACATTTTACATAGTTTAATTTAAAAAATACATTTTAAGCTAGTTGATCTTTGACTGCCTTATTTATTATAACCTTTCAGCACATTCCAAGGTTTTAGTTACTCAGGAAGGAGTTAATTAAAATGATTTTATTTTGGTTTGATGGATGTTTTTTAAAAGGAAAATTATTATTATGAACCCTCAGCCTACTTTCCTTGAGTGCTGTAAAAGTGCTTGTAAATCTCTCTCCTTTTTTTTTTTAAGAAGAAAGGAAAAAAATGGTGTTTGACATTGATGGAAATTCAAAAGTATATATGGAACTGAAACATTAGCTTAGCTAAAATAAAAGCAATCTGTGTTCGAGATGAAGTGTTCCTTAACTTATTCATTACCCATATAAATAAATGAATATAAGTAAGTTGAATTTTTTTCCATTCTGTTGATAGCTAGAAATAAAAGTGCCTGTGGTTTCTCACAGACCCCTCCACCTTCTTAATTGGCAAAGCCTTTTTCCTCAAGATGTGATTTTGGAAAGACGTGGTTTTGAAAAACTAACAACTTTCACTCTTGCAACTAAAACACACACAGACACACACACATACACGCAACAAAAAAGCTTAAAAAATCATTCATTCATACAGTTGTGTTTGTAAAATACCAAACAACTGACTTTATTGCTGTTTTCACTGGTAAATTTTGTGTTAGAAGGCTACATCAGAATCCTCAATCTCGGAAGCCAGAGGCTGCATGTCTTCAGAGAGGTAGAAAAGGAAGGGCACCCCATGGCCTTCCTTATGTAAGCTGTTTCTCTTTCAAATGAATAGCCTTGTTCCAAAAATGCCCACCCTGGGAAATTTCACTACTGTGGTCCAGTGGAATTTACAGAGAAAGAAAAAGGGAGAGACAGACAGAATCCTCATGCTTTCTAAAGGTTACACACTGCATTTCAACTCCTTGTGACTCTTTTGTTGAAAGAATCAGGCTCTTGGTATTAGGTGAAAAAAAAAAAAAGCCMATTTGATAATGATGTGATGTACTTCAAGTAAGATCTAAGCATCTTGAACACAGTGAGTTTTGACCCTTCTTAGCCATTTAATTTGTTCTTCTGTAACCCAATCAAATGAGTTCAACTAAATGAGATTTAAAACCCAAGTCCTAAACTAAAACTGGGCTGTAAGCTGGCTATTATGGTATATGCCTAATACTCCTCATGACTCAGGAGGCTGAGGCAGGAGGGTTGAGACCAATCTCAATAACTTAGCAAGACTCTGTCCCAAAGTAAAAAATAAAAAGGTCTAGGCACAGCTCATTGGTAAAGTGCCCCTGGGTTCAATCCCCAGTAGCAAGAAAACAAAACAAAACAAAACAAACCCCTGGGCTATAGCACATCTGGTATTGCTTGTTTGATCTAAAGTTATTTATAAATGTGTTGCTGACTGTGGGTTTCTACAATKATCTGTTTAGCTTTAAATGAATTTTATAGATAATAGGAATATTTCTTCCAAGGCAGAATAATGACCCAAAGCCATTAAGAATTATATTGTGGGTCAAAATTGTGAAATTCTCTTCAAGAAAATGCAGAGGACTTACTTGCATCTGATGATAAACCTATAAAAAATAAGCAAACAAAAGATATGAATAATCTGCTATAGAAAAACCCATTTTAAGCTAAAATTGGTATTAAAGTTATGTGAAGAAAAACATGTGGAACTTCTTTCGTAGTCTAGAAATGTCATTATYATGAAGCCCAGTGTATTAGTCAGTTTGGGCTGCCTTAACAAAGTCCCACAGACTGGGGACTTAAACTATGAAAGTGTATTTTCCCACGGTTCTGGATGCTGGAAGTCCCAGGTTCATTTCTTCTGATGCCTCTCTCCTTGACCTGAAGATGACCATCTCCTCCCCACATCTTCATGTGGCCTTCCCTCTGTTTGTTCACATGTCTGTGTCCAAATTTCCTCTTCTTAAAAGGACCCCAGTCATTCCGTTTTAGGGCCCACCCTAAAGACCTCCTTTTAACTTATTAATCTCCTTAAAGAACCAATTTCGGCTTCAACAATACCTCCAATTCTGGGGTACTGGTTGAGACTTCAACATGTGAATTTGGAAGAAGACATAATTCATTCCATACTACCCACATTCCTGCAGAAAAGTTAGATCAGTGGAACTGAGTTCCAACTAGAGGAGAAGCGAGCTTTCCATCAAACTTCCAGAATCAGAGTCGCAGTGGAGTTCATCAGTAGAGATCTGGGCCATTCCCTCATTAAGGTCCAGGGAGGAGACAGATTCATCACACCCTAACGTTTTCCATTAAGGGTTCACTTAACTTTTGAACATCTACCAAATTAAAGCTTAAAGTGATGAATCAGCCAACATTCATCTCTTGATCTAGAACCTAGAACAGAAATGATGAATCATGTCCAGCCACACCCAGGACCACCTGCCAAAATGAAGTGTTATGGGCTCACTCTTGGGCTTACTGCAGAGTCAGGGCAGTGGGACCCACCCACTCTCTGTCATTTATATCCTCTGAGACAGATAGAAAAAGAAAATGTATCATTCTAGAATTTCTCCCTAATTAAAGGACAYAGAGAGGTTCTTGTTTCTCCATAAGCAGATTTGGGCACTGTTTGCTGATCTCAAATTAAACAGTTTTATTTCTCTTAAAAGCAAAGTGAAGGTTCATATTCTGTGTCCTATAAGGAGTTTCAGATGGTCCCACCTCAGAAAGCAGAGTTGATGCAGCTCATAAAAGTAATTGAAGTCGAGTGTAGACATGCTTTTGCAAGGCAGAGTAGAGGCTAACAGGCCCCGAGCCTTGCAGGCCCCACTCCATGTTTCACTCTGGAGAATTCCTTTCTGCCTAGGGTAGGCTTGGCTCACTACTCCCGGCACTGCTGCTTCCCAAGGAACACTCAGGCCCACAGATGTTCATGGGTCATAGGATTGTGAACTGACCACTTGTACATTTTGGATTTCAACTTGTAAACATGGGGATT